CACATAAAGGTAAAATTGAATGATAAATGAATTTAAACTTATAAATATAATTTGAATAAATTTTACCTGAATTATAACAACATTTACTAATTTTTCCCTCAAAATAATCCACTTCCATGTATGATTCTTCCAAAAATGTAGCCGATTCAACATCTAAACCAAATTGTTCACCCACTGACCAAATTCCGCCAACACAAAATGAGGAAGAAACTATCTAAACAAGAGCTTTTTATATTAGCAAATTTTTGATTTTTTTTTTTTAAAAATAAATTTCTAAATTTCAATGAATAAATTTTGGTATTAATGAAGAAAAGAATGGAAAGAAGAAAAAGAAGAAAAGAATAGTAAATTAGTAAATAGTAATGATAGTAAATTTAATGAAGAAAAGAAAAAAAAGAAAATTATTCGATTAATGTACAAAAATTTCATGTTGAAATTTTTTTTTTTGACTATACAAACAAATCGTATAATTCGCTATAAAATGTATAAGACTGAAAATTATTCAAAAGAATTTAATAATATTCAAAAAAAAAATTCCCCTAACATATGTGTATACCTCGGTGTTTTTTAAATTACTACCCTTTAAATATTTTCTTAAATTATTGTTTTAATTATTTTTGCAAATTAATTTACTCTTGAATTATCGCATTTAAAATAAAAAAATTTTCAATATATTGAAATTTGTATCAATTATTAGAATAAAAATGAATCTAAGAAATTAATTGGTTCTAAAAAAAAAGAGTCTAAGACATTAGTTTAAAAAATTTAATTAATTAATTAATTGCTTGTTGGCTAGTGAAAATTTTTGATCTGATATAAAATAAACATAAATGGTATAAATAATATGATAATATAGTATAGAAAATAGTAAACAGAAATGAATTTAATTAGTACTAATTGATTCCAAAATATATGCACAAATTTTATTTCTCATTAAAAAATAATCATTAGGATTTTTAAAGGAATTTAAAAAAAAAAAAAACTAACTCTAGCCCATTGTTCTTGGCTAATAATTGCTTCTTCAGTTGTTGCCATATTACCTCCACATGATACATCCAAATTTACATGTTTTACTTGTCCTGAAAAAAAAAAAAAAAAAAGAAATTAAAAGACATCGAAAAAAAATTTCCGAAATTTCAATTCTAAAATTTTCAATTTATAATAAAATAAAGAACAAAACCATTAAATTATAAAGAATTAATATGATACTCTCTCGTTCTTTTTTCTTTTTTTTATTTCCAATTATCAACAAATTCCCAGTAAAAAAAAAAAAAAAAAAATCTTGAAAAATACTTACCTTCAATAACTAAATCATGTCCTACCGTTACCGTAACCGAACCACCTGTCCAAATTGATTTTGCTTCACATTTTGCATTCCCATAAACTGTTAATGTTAATGTACCACTTCGAAACTGTGCGCAATCACCACAATCTCGTCCAATCTTTAATGAAATTTAAAAATTATAAGCTTATCATTGTATATGATTGTATTATTTATCAAAAAATAAATATCATTCCATGTTATCATTTCTGATAAACAAGCTTAATCATTCAAACTTCAAATTTTAGCATAATCTGAAATTACTCTTAATGACATTGAAAACTATATACTTTAATTATTATTTGTTAAACGAATTAATTAATTAGTCAGAGAGAAGTAGGAAAATATTGAGAAAAAAAAGTAAACAAATAAAAACTGATAATCAAAATAGCTTACATTAAATATGATAAGCAAAATTATCAATATTTTGCATTTTTTCAATTTAAGTGAAATTCATATTTCAATATTCTTTAAAATTTCAATTACATACATGATAAAAAAATAATTGATTAATGATATGAA